GCAGAGATTGGCAAATGGCCCACATCCTATTGTTATAAATAAAGTTTTACTGGATCACAGGTGTGCTTATTCACGCCAGTGGGTTTCATTCTTCCACAGGGAAGTCATTGGCTCATAAAGATGGAATATTTCTACCTGGTTTTTCATAGAAAAATTTTGTCAAACCCCAATTCAGATGAGCCAATAAATCTGACTTTCATAATAATGTTTAAAACATTTGAAGATTGGGACACTTTTTCCTTTGAAAAAAGGGATCTTGGTGTGATATGGCATATGAAGCAATTTATGGTGCGTTACCCTCCTCTCCAAACTGATGGCCTCCGGAAACTCATTTTTGATAGCCAGAGCCTTTAAAATGTGAGACTCAGAGTTGAATACCACATGAGCAGGAACAAGCCCCAGACACTACGGCCACGGCCACCAGCCCAGGCCTGCTACAGCTGCTAAGTCATGGCACCCAGTCTGAGTTTTGAACCCAGCACAGATCTGTCTGTGCTGATTCCTAGCCCACCAAAGTGGATACCTGCTGTCCTGCCACACGTCGGTAGGACAGCCCTTCTGGATAGAAGAAGGTCACTGTGGTCCCATAGGAGTCTTCGCCATCATTGGACGCTATCACTTCCGCGTTCAGTTCGAGGTTACTCCCCACCACCAGGGTCTTCAAGCTGGGCGTTGCAGGGGTGGGGTGGGGGAATGATTGTGTGAGTGAGGCTGGAAATGGGCTGGGGTACAGCATGGGGTGAGGAGGGAGAGACGGGGGCAGCATACTTGCTTTCTGAGTCCCAGGCCCTAGAAGGGAGGTGGGACGCACGGCAGACCTAAGCAGGTGGGTGCTTACCCCAAGAAGTCAAAGGTGATTTCAAGGTCATCCTGGCAGATGTGGTCAGCTCCACAGTTCTTCTCAAAGGGGAGCTAAGAGAAGGGCCAGGCGGGGTTTTCCTGAGACCCAGCACCACCCGGGGTGACCCCTCAGAGTCCTGAGCCCTGCACTCACGGAGACCGTGAAGTAGGTCTGAGCATCCGCAGCCAACATGGGCTGGAGGAACCCAATGGAAGAGCTGGGCTTGCCCTCCAGAGAGAAGTTGAGGCGCAAAGTAATGGGCGTCACCGAGTCCTCCACGCAGGCCTAGAGCACAAGCACCAACAGGGAGAGCTTGAGGAAAGCCCAGGAAGCGCCGCCCGCCCCAGAGGCTTGCTTTATGCTGCCACGCAGAGCCGTCTGCCTGCTGTGCACAGGGAGGGTCCCTCGTTTTCTTCAGCATCTTTCTGATCTGCCCTCCTCCCTGTTCTCATCAGTTTTGTCACCTGCCATGGGCCTGGCTCCTACACAGAGCCTGTCTCAGAGGACCAGGGCCATCAATTTGTGCCCAGGGAATGCCTCAGAGCATCTCAACCTGCAGCGCCAAGCTCGCGAGCAGCCTGGTTCCCTTTCCCTGAGATCCAACTGCATAACCTCTGGCCACTGCAACCAACCTCAGCTGCAGCTCCATGCCAGGTGCTGTGCTGAGGCTGAGCCCCAGAGAGCACCAGAACCTGCTGCTGGCCTCCAAACGGCCCTGCCCGTCCACGGAGGCTGCCTTACCGGGAGAAGCAGTGGCACAGGCTCACAGTGCTGCCTCAGCCCAAGGACTTGGACCTGAGTCAGGGTCCGGGTATTTGTCTTCTTGAAGACGGCACGGGGATTCAGGCGGCCAGGGTCAAGGGTAAGTTCAAAGGTCACAGAGCTCTGGAGGTTACCTAGAAAAGGAAGCAGTGCATGGGGGTATGGGGGGGGTGGAGAGAGACAGAGACAAAGAGCAAGAGCGAGAGTGAGAGCGAGAGCCTCCCCAGGCAAGGAAGGGCGAGGCAGTGGACAGGAGTCCTGTGCTGGGGGACCTCAAGGGTCAGGGTATCCAGGGTAGGGGCAGGACTCACCTCCTTGACTCTTGGTACATTCATAAATATGAAAGCAGACAGTGGCTTCGCCCAGGCTCTGGACAGTGGCCACCGGCTCTTGACACTCAAACATAGACCTGGGGATCTCTGTACGCGTGAAATGCATGTTCACCCTCACCCCAAGGACAGGTCTCGTCCTGTGGGGAGAACGCCGAGTTCAGCCTAGGCTCTTGGCTCCCGCAGCACCACTGGGCAGGGGAGGGGTGGGGGTCCTGTGGGGACCTCGGGTCACACAGGCAGTGTGTGAAGCAGCCACTCTCACCTAAGCAGCAGCATGTGTCCCTGCGCCCCCACAGCCAGGTCTAGCAGTCCATCCAGGGTGAGGTCCTGGCCCCCGCTCAGAGACTGCCCGAAGTGCTGAAGCCTGGGAGAGAGCTGGGAGCCTGCGATCCTCTGTCCAGAAGAGAAAGTCAGTTATGTTGGGTGCTGGGGGAGGAACTGAGTTGTTGGAATTTGGCTTATTCTCTAAGAGGTAAAGTATCAGAGGCCTGGTTCCCAGTGTGCTGGACCTTCTACAAAAGTAAGTCCAGTGGGAGGTGATTGGGCAGCTGGGGACATTGGCCTCAGATGGGATTAAATACGGGAGTGGTTAGGTGGTCCTGGTTATTTCCAGAGAGTTAAAAAAGAATGTGACTGATGGCTGAACATGGTAGTGAGTCCCTACCACCCCAGCTACCCAGAAGGCTGAGGCAGGAGAACGGGAGGTTCAATGCCAGCCCGGCAATTTAGTGAGAACCTGTCTCTAAAAAGAATGACAACTTTTAAAAGAGCTGGGAGTGTAGCTCTGTGTCTCCTGGGGTCCAAGCCTCGCTGCACCTGCCTCCCCCCAAAGGAGCAAGGCTTGTGTTAGCCTCTCTTTGCCATGTACCCTCCCCACACGATGCCATCAACCATGGTGTGACATAGCCAGGAGGCCTGTGGGAGCTCACACTGTGCTAGTTCTAAACACTGTACTCCCACGAATTCATTCAGTCAGCGAGCACAGCGGTGGGTGAAGAGACTGTTTCTAGTAACACAAAGTGAGGCCGAACTTCAGGGACCTTTCTTTTTTCTTTTCTTTTCTTTTTCTTTTTTATTTTTTTCGGAACCGGGGATTGAACTCAGGCCCTTGCGCTTGCAAGGCAAGTGCTTATTCTACTGAGCTATCTCCCCGGCCCAGGGACCTTTCTTGTGCTTTTCCTGTGTCCAGGAAGTAGTAGCTCTCTTGAGATATCGTCCACACACCGTACAATTCACCTCTTTAAAGTACACAACCCAATAGTGTTTAGTGTGTTCACACAATGGTGAAACCATCACCTCAGTCAGTTTCAGGACAGTGTCCCCACTTCCAAGAGACCCCGTATCTATTGGAGGGGGCGCTATGCATTTCATTTCTCCCCATACCCGGCCCTAGGTAACCTCTAGCCTACTTTCTATCTCTGTAGATTTGTCTATTTTAGTAACTTAGTACAAACGCTGTCATGGTCACTTGTGACTGGCTTCTTCTACTGAGAATAATGTTTTCCGGGTTCATCAATGTTGTACCCTATATCAGCACCTCCTTCCTCATCAGTTGATAGATATTTGGATTATTCACACCTTGGCCATTAGGAATAATGCTGCAAAGAACATCCACATACAAGAGGCTTTGGGGGAGTGTTTTGTTTTAAGACAGTGTCTGCCTGTAATTTAAGCTGGCCTGGAACTCACTGTGTAGGTAAGGCTGACATCAAACTTGTGGCAGTCCTCTTGCCTCAGCCTCCCCAGTGTTAAGAACACAGGCCACCACAAAGCCAACTCATGTACAAGATTTTGTGTGGCTGCATGTTTAATTAACTCTGTAGTTAGTCTTTTGATAATTGCCGACTGCTTTCCAAATTTTACAACCCCACTAGCAATGCAGGAGGGTTGGAAGTTCTCCACAACCTCCCCAATACTTAGTAACTCTCAGCCTTGGGAACCCTAGCCACTCTAGAAGACTCAAAACTGTGCCTCACTGTGGCCTGGGTTTGCTAACACCTGCTGAGGAGTGATACTGAGATCCTTTCAAGTACTCATTGGCCCTTTGTTTATCTTCTTTGAGGAAATACCTCTTCAGACACTTCACCTATTTTTTAGTTGGAGGTTCCTCAATTTCCGCCAAGGAAAGTAGCCCTCCCTTCTCAAGGAACGTTTTTTAGCTGTGTGTAGTGTTTCTCCCCAGGGGGGCACTGGTATGATCCTTGAGGACAGGGATGGAATAAAGTCCCCCAGATATACAAAGGTCTTCATGTTCCACCTGCAATTTTGAAGCTACTAGAAGAAAACCTGAGGAAAACCCTTCAAGATATCGGTACTGGCATCAAGTTTTCTGAGTAGCGCTTGGGAAACAATAGGAAGAACCGCAAACTGGATTTTACCAAAGTGAAATGCTTCTGTACAGCGAAGGAAACGATCAACAGTAAAGAGACAACCCGAGGAATAGGAGAGAAATTTTGCTGTATATTCTTCACATAGAAGAGTAATTCAGAATAAAGAACTCAAGACAAGTAGCATCAAATGAGTTAATCTAATCAATAATGGACAATTCTCAAAAAAAGTCCAAATGGCCAGTTAATGCATGGAAGTAAGTTCAACACCTTTAACCATTAGCAAAATCAAAGTCAAAGTTATACTGAAGGGCTAAGGAGATAGCTCAGGGGTCTAAGCACCTGCCTGGCAAGTGTAAGGACCTGGGTTCGATCCCTGGTACCCCATGCCAAGCCAGCCCCAGAACCCTGGGTGTGCTCTGCTGTCATCAAAACTGGGCTTAGTGGTGCACACCTATAATCCCAGCACTGGGGAGGCTGAGACAGGAGGATCACTATAAGCTCAAGGTGAGTAGTGAGACCCTGTATCAAACATCAAATAAATTAATAAACAAACAAACTACACTGAAGTCAAGCATAGTGATGCAGACCTATAATCCTAGCACTCTGGAAGGCTGAGGCAGGAGAATTTCAAGTTCCTACCCAGCCTTGATAACTTAGCAACTTAGTGAGGGCCTGTCTTAAAATTTAAAAGGCAAGAATCTGAAGTTCTTGCTCAGTGTAAATGCCCTGGTCCAATCCACAGTACTACAAGCAAAAAGATATATAGAGATAGAGATAGAGATAGAGATAGAGATAGAGATAGAGATAGAGATAGAGATAGAGATGGAGATAGAGATAGAGATATACTGAGATTCCATCTCACCCCAGTCAACAAATACCCCAGGTCTTATCAACAAAAATAAATGCTATCGAGGATCCAGGGAAAAAGCAATGTTTATACACTGTCAGTGAGAATATGATACCGCTGCTATGAAAAGCACTATAGAAGTTCCTCGAAAAGCTAAACATCGGGGCTGCGGAGATAGCTCAGAGGCAAAGGCATGCGCCAGGCAGGCACAAGGACCCGAGTTTGATCCTCAGCCCCTCGCGCCATTCACCGGGCACACCGTGCCAGCCACAGCACTGGGCATGGTGGTGCATGTCTAAGCCCAGCACTCAAGAGGTTGAGACAGGAGGATCACTGTGAGTTTGAGACCAGTCTGGGGCTACAAAAGTGAGAACAAAGCCAGCCTAAACTGCAGAGTGAGACCCTGTCTCCAAAAAAAAAAAAAAGCTAAATGTAGAATTGTTCTATGGTAGAGCTATCCCACTCCTGGGTACAGACCCAAAGGAATCAAGGTGAGATATGACAGAGATCCTTCAGCATCTAGGTTTATTCCAGCACTATTCACAATAGCCCAGACAGGCTACCAGCCTACATGTCCGTCAATGAATGAATGAATAAAGAAAACATAATGTGGTATTACGCAGCCATAAAAGAACAACATCATGTCATTTCCAAGAACATGGACCAATCTGGAGATCATGCTGTTAAGCGAAACAAGCTAGACTCAGGCAGTCAAGTATTGCGTGGCTTCTGTCATATGTGAAATGACATGAAAATAGAAGAGGACCTAGCAAGAAGAAGAAAGGTTAGACAGGTGTGGACACGAGTAGGTGGTGGGAGGGGGTACTATGAAAGCACACTGCGTGCATTATGGAAATGTCATAATGAAACCTGCTAATTGAACAGTTAATGTGCACTAGTAATTATAATTTGTAAAATAAAATATTTTTAGAAAATCACATTGTATCCAGGGAGATGAGGGGTCAATGAAGAGGAACATAAGGCTGCTGGATCTAAGCAGATGGGAGATCGGGAGCGCAGAAGACTGAGGGAGCCCCGCATCGCCACTCCTGCTCTGTTGTGAACCTCGGACAGGACAGGTTATGTCTGTAGAATGGGTTTGCTAATGCCTGCTCTGCACACTGTGCAAAGCTTCTGGGAGATGAAAGGGCCCAGATGGAAACTACACAAGGACCAACTCCCAGAGCGAGCAGTGTGGGGGCCACGCATGTCTCCACGCCACAGTCACACAGGTGCTCCTCGCTGCTGGTGAGGTGCCCGGTGCTGGCAAGGAGAGGAAACAAGTAAAAGGAGTGTGAAAGAGAAGCCCAAGCAAAGAGGACGAAGTCACAGTGACAGGAAACAGCGACTGGATCTCACCTGGCTGTGGGCCTGGCTGATGCCTCCTCTAGAGACTCCATGAAACAAGTAAACAGCGCCCTGGTTCTCCTGCTCTCCGGGGGCCCCGATGGCCACATCTGTCAGCTCGTCCCCATTCACGTCCCCCAGCACCGTCATTGCTGCCCCAAAGCGGCCCCAGGGGTGACCCTGCTCGCCCTGGAGAACAGCTTCACACCGCCACGGAGCCCTCTGCTAAACAAAAAATGTCAGGCCCGAGACAAGGACACCTTCCATCCACACCCAAAGCCCATGAGCCCGGTCCCAGCAGCCACTCACCCCCTTAGGCAGGGGACACACGGACACCCGGCCCCCCCGGGTCGGCTCGTAGTAATGGGGGGCCCCAATGAGGACCAGGTCAGTGCTGCCATCTCTATCCACATCCACAGAGCAGAGGGAGGCCCCAAAGTAGGAGCCGATCTAGGGTAGAGGCACAGGTCACCCTGGCTCCCCTGCCAGGTGCACCAGCACGGTCATCTCTCCCGAGACACCAAGACCTGCCCCAAGGCCCCTCCCCTCTCGCTCCCTGACCCTGGCCACCCCGCCCACCCTCGCAGGCCACTCTGGCTCTCTCCATACCAACCTGGGTCCCTCTGACCTCGGCTTGTGACCTCCATCGCCTGGAAGCCTGGATGAAGATGATGACCTTTCCAGTGTGCTGATGGCGAGGAGCCCCCAGGACCAGGCTCTGCGCCCCCTTCCAAAGGGCCAGCTCTGTGGCATAACCTTGGGTGGGGGTGCGGGCTCAGCACCAAGGCTTTCCCCATCCCCAGCAGGGCGCCCCCTCGTCAGCCCTGCCTGGACCCCTCTCACCCAGGTAAGAGTCCCTCTCATCCATGTGCTCCCCAGTCACGTTGATGAAGGTGGGTTTCCCATTTTGGGGATACAGGAAGGCGCCTCCAGACCAGTCGAAGCTTCCTACTGCCCCCAGAACTGGACCTTCCTGAGAGGATTCCAAGGCTGAGCAGGCAGGAGCCAGGAGAGGCCCAACCCAGAGAAGTACCTGCGCCTGGCCCCACCCCCCAGCCAATGCTAGCCTCGTGTTCCCTTCCCACACCCCTCCTCATCCTGAAGGGAGGTCACTCACTGGGGTGAACACAGCGCTGAAGCCCTCCTGGGACATCTCCAGTTCAAAAGAGCTACTGCTTACCGGCTCTGTACCTGGGGGAGAAGGCATGCTGCTTGGGTTTCCCAGGAGAAAGACAGCTGTGCAGGGTGCTACAAGGATTCTTACGATTTTTCTTTCTTTTCTTTTGAGACAGGGTCTCACTATGCAGTGTGGGTTGGCCTTGTGCTCACTTTTCTAGCTCCCAGGCTGGTCTCGAACTCACAGAGATCCTCCTGTCTCAGCCTCCCAAGTGCTGGCATTACAGGCATGCACCACCAAGCCTGGTTCTGGGACCACACAGTGGTCGCCCACATCTGGGGCTGAGTGCCCCCCCCCATCCCCTGGGGATCAGAGGAGACCTTAGGGCACGCGGGGCTTGGGATCAAGTGGGGCTGGGGATGGAACTCTGGTCCTTGCACTTGCCTGGCAGACACTTATGCCTCTGAGCTATCCTCCCCCTCCCTTAGGAAAATCTTAAGATTGGACAGCAAAGGCTACAGAAGAGTTTAGGGCCTCACAGAGGAGTCTGAATTCAAAAAAGAAAATCGCTTGTAGCCGAGGCTTTCTGCCTCTGCCTCACCCTCGATGGCGAAGATCTTCTCCTTCAGCTGGTTTTGAATAGCCCTCAGGGCGTCGAAGTTCTCCACTCTGAAGACGTGGGAGGGGCTTGATGCGATCTGGTTTAATTCGTACCGGGAAGCTGGAGCTTGAAAAGCTCTCCCAACCTGTAGGCAGCAGAGACGCGCTCAGTGTTCCCGGGCCACAAGAGCGCTGCGCCGCGGAGGCCTCACAACACCGAGAAAAGAGCGGCTCGGGTAGCCCTTTAAGGAAAAAGAATCCTGGGTTCCGGCGCTAGGGCGGAGCTGTCGGGCTGGCCCATGCGCTGCGGGGATTGTTATCCATAAGGGGGCAGCAGACTTGGGAGGATGACGTAGGCAGGCTCCCGTCCCAGCGCCGCGTCGCACCCCAACTGCATAGCGGATGATGCCTGCCGCCTTAGCCATGGGGATGACGTCCTTATAATCCAGTCTATCGCCTTCTTTATGTCCGTCGGTGATGACAATCAAGATCTTGGTGGCATCCTTGCGAGCTCCGCTTACGGCGGTGAACAGTTCATTTCTGCCAGGAAAGAAGAGGCGCCGAGGTTGATGAAAGAGCAGTGCAGACCCGAAAACCTTTGTGAAAGGAAGGATGGATGCCGCTGCCCCGGGAGGCCTCGGTCCCGCTGAGCGGCCCCAACTTGGCAAGAGGGCATTTCCGTTTCTGCACTGAGGGCCTAAGGAGGAAGTGGGTGCCTGGGGAAAGGATGCGGAGGCGTCTAGGCTCACATGACTTCTCTGATGGCCGTGGCTGTGTAAGTGAACCCTTTTAGCTGGCTCACGGAGTTGAGCAGGCTTAGCGGGTCTGAGCTGGAGACGAAGTCATTGAAGGTGAAGTGTGTCCGGAATCGGTTTGAGAACTGCATCAGAGCAACCTGGGAGACCCACCCGGGCCAGGGGCTGAGGTTACTTCCCTGGGGCCCCCAGTGCTTCCACAGCAAGTGTCCTCCACCCAGCAAGTCCCAGCAGACGTGTCTCCCTCCCCTAAGGCACACCTGGGTGCTGGGCCTCTGGAACTGGCTTATCACAGACTTCACAAAGTTTATCATCGTGACGAAATCATAAGGCAAAATGCTGCCAGAGCCATCAATCAGGAACACGATGTCCTGGTCCTGCCGTGGGCACTCTAGGAAAAGAAGTGGCCCTGGTCCTTCAAGGGACACACCCAAGCGCCCAGGACCTCCTGGCCACAAGAACTCACGCGTGCCCCCACCTCATCCCTCCTTGTTAGGATTTCTCTAAGCACGTGCCCCCAACAGGGCCCTGAGGCTCGGAAAGATTCAGAGAGGCTGCTGTGACTGAACCGTTCTTGCCTGCTCAGCCAATCTGGTTGATTAATTTAAAAAAAAAAAGTGAGCCTGCCATCTAGATAAGCCAGGAGCCCCTCTTTCTCCCTGGGCCAACTGTGACAACTCCCTGCCCCACCTGAGCCCACCTTCCTCCGCACCCTCAGTATCCTCCAAGGAAAGGACCCGGTGCCTGCCCCGGCTGGCTGGGGTCATGGGTCAAAGCTGAACTGCACTTTTCCATAATTTTAATGTCATCCCTGACAGCAGCTGCACATGGACCACGTTCCAGTCGTAGCTGGAATACGGGCCGCAATCCATGCCTGGCAGAAGCAGAACCTGTTCTCAGAAAGGGAGGCGCTTCCTGCTCAGGGAGGAGACTCCCATCCTCCCCTGCCTGCCGGCTTCTCCTTTCTGCACTGGAGGCGGTCTACAAGCGAGACTGGTATCTGGGGGCTCTGACAGCCCCTGTGGGTGGAGTTGAGGCCCAGCGGGGCTCGGGAAAGGGTTTCAAGCTGTGACCAAATGTCACTGTCCCCCAAGTGAATGAGAAGCCACTTTGGGTCAGAAAAGCTCACTGTTCTACCTCTTTATCCCCCATGCCCATCAGCGCCAGAGAAGCCCAGCCTTGTATCTAAGCCTGCGTGACAACAGGTACCTGAATACACACACACACACACACACACACACACACACACACACTGCAGCGTGGTGCAATCAGAAATGCAGTGAATGTTTAGTTTTTAAAATTCTATCACAGTAAAAGACACACTGCTGCCCGCCTCCCCAAGCCTCCGCTCTTCTTCTGGTCTACTCATCGCCTCGTGCTTGCCACTTTCTGAAGCAGCTCTGGAGTCCTCGGTCATGGCTGCCCCGATGTCCTGAATCAGCTCAAAACGGCTGCCTTTCATGGTCATTTTGACTCTGGGGAGGAGCCAGGAGTCCTGGTGCCAGAGCCAGGCAGTGAGGTGGGTGGGACCCAGCGTCGTGGTTTTACTTGGCAGAAATTGGCATCATTGCTTTGAATCCATTCAGGACATGGAGGCAGCCATGATGGCGCAACCAGACACAGGGGAGAACTTGAAGAGCAGGAGGAGGGATGGGATGGGTGCGCTCAGACAGAGGGGTCGAGGGGTCACGCTGGAGGGCGTCAGTGGCACAGCCTTGTACTGAAGCAATTCTTAACTGTAAATATACACTGTATTTTTGATCAGCCCTCATATACACACACATATAATACACACATCCACATGCATACACATATATACAAATACACATATACACACATCCACATGCACACACATATGCACACACATATACACATACATATACATACATACACATACATACACACATCCACATGTACACGCACATACACACACATCCACAAGCAAACACATATACACACATCCACATGCACACATACACACATATACACAAACACATATACATGAACACACATATACACACACAAATATACACGTGTCCACACGCACACATACATCAGCACCGATACACACAAATATACACAGATACATACACATACACACATACACATGTGCACACACATATACACACATGCACAATCCACATGCACACACAAACATATACACACATGCACACACACCCGCACATCCACACCTGCATACACACATCCACATAAATATGTACACATGTGTACATGCATACACATATACATATGTACGTGCACACACATAAACATGCATACACATCCACATGCGCACACACATGCACACTCATGCACACACGTGTACACGCACAGCCCAGACTGCACCCTCACCAGCATCTCCGCCCAGCATCTCCCAGACTGCCACCCAAGCCAAGTGGTTACGTCTCAGGGCACAGTGGAAGAGAGTGAATCGCAGCCTCTGGAGACACAGCAGCAGCCCACACTAAGGCAGCCTCCACCTCACACCATGCACTGTACTATGGATTATCTCGTGCTACTTTCAGGGTTGGTTGTGTAATCAGCCCCATCTGACAGATGAAGAAACTGAGGCCAAGCAGCAGAACAGGGGAACGCTGACCAGGCAGTGCCAACACAGGCAATGACACTCGGTCTGTGACTAGAGCCACCACATCATCCAGCAACTGTTTTTTTCCAGACTCCCTCCCCTTCTTATCTGTTCAGGTAACGGTCTCCGACTTCATCATACCCCCAGGTGAATATGAGGGCTCCTCGAGGGAGCGGGGCGGCCCCCACACTCACCCTGCAGGGCATCCGGAAACCTTCTGCCCCCCTGGGCGGGAGGGACCAGCAGGAAGCACAGCCCCATCAAGTACATGTTCTGTCTGCAGGCCTGGTGCACAGTAGGGCCGCAGGCCTGGGGACAGAGGGGCTGGTGGAAGAGGCTGCCCTGCTCCCACCCCTCCCCCACGCCCAGCACTTACATCCTCCACCAGACTCTGGGTCCCAGCAGCCCTGGGACCCCCTCCTCCCCTAAGCCCCCATCTTGTGACCCAGGGTGACTCACCAACAGCTGGGAGGGATTGTTGGAAGCAGCCAGGGATAAGCCCAGGGACATGTTCACTGCCTCTGGGGGCACTGAGGAGACAGACATTTGCATGATGAGCATCAGGGACAGAGCAAAGGTGATAGCCCCCCAGGGGACAAGGAGGCCTGACAGGCGAAGGAGCCTTCCAGGTCATGAGGGAGCCGAGACAGTGCAGGGTGTGACGGGCAGAGGTCCTGCGGGGCTCGGGAAGCCTCTGTAGACTGGGAGTTCTGCAGACACAGCTGAGGCCGCCGTGGGAGCCCCGTGTCAGGTTCAGCCGGGCAGCGACTCACCCCGCAGGGAGACAGGCTCACACTGGCCTGTGCGGTAGTCACACTGATAGAGGCCACCTGTCTGGTTGGCAGCTGTGACCTCTTTGGGGGCTCCAACCATCACCCTGGGGGAGAAAGAGAACCCTGCAGTTAAGAGTGTAGGCCCTAAAGCCCCACTTCCACTCCGGCAGGGCTGCTCTCCCACCTCAATTTCCTGTCTGTAAAATGGAGATTAGTAACGATTTAAATTCTGCAAGGGTAGTGCTGCTATCTGTTGTATTCTCGGGCATACAGCCAGCTCCCGAGGCATATAGTAGGTGTTCAATAAATACTTGTGGAAAGGCTGATTCCTCCTAAGGCTGGGAAAGGTAAGTCAGTGCCCACCTGTCATGTGCAGTGACAGTGCCCAGCACTTAGAAAGGACCCAGTGAATATCAGCTGTAATTACTGTGACACAAGACAGGGTACACTTTCAGCCTAAATAGTCATCACTTGGGGAAAGTTGCCACATCGAATAGAAGGCATTTAAATGTACAAGTCATGCCACAGGGAGAGGGGCTGGGAAGGCAAGGTGATTTGCGCAGGAAGAACAGCCAAGGAGCACCCAAAGTCAGGCGCCTCCTGTCCTCACCTGGAGCCAGTATACTGGACCACGCTGTGTCCAAACCCAGGCCTGTCCATTTGAAAGATTTTCATCTTCAGTGTGTCCAAGTTGAAGCCGAGAGAAGCAGATAAGGCTAAGGAAGGCGAGGGGAGCTTGGGATAAGGTCTTCCTGCTGCCCCGCCACTCTGTCCTCAGTCACCTGCTTGCTGATCTCCACCTTCAGTCCGGCACCCCAGGGCGCCCCGACCTCCTGAGCTCCCTGACCCAATCCACCTCTACCCTTCACACCATTCTCAGATGTCCTTCATGTAATGCTTCCCTGGCAAGTGTCAACTGTCCATTTCCCCAGAGGGACGGTCACCTCCAGAGCTAAAGATGGCCCTTCCCCACCTTTGCCCTGGAAAGCCTGTGGAGGAGAGGTTGGGAAGATTTGGGGGTCACTCAGACACCGCAGAAAAAGCACAGACATAATTTGTCCAGCCCAGACATCCTCAGATAGTCAAGGCCTCCCTTGAATTCCCCCCAAATTGGTTCTCAATATCCTCTTCCCCCACAAAGTCGTTGTGCCAGCCTCCCCTAATGCCAAGCCTCTTTCCCAGCACCTAGGCCCTGGGCTCAGCCGGGGCCCCCAGCTCACCCATGAACAAGAGGAGGGCTCTGCAGGTCCTGCTCATGACTGGAAGGTTCGATGCACGGCTCTGGGCTCCTGGGCTGCCGCAGGACAGCTGGGCCAAGGTACCAAGAAGCGCTCGAGCAGAGCAGGCTAGGAGGCCAGAGGCAGGGAGGGAAGTTATCAGCGTGACTCAGAAGAGGAGGGCGGAGAACACAACCCAAGTGAGCAGAGATGAACACCGGGGCAGCCCCCACACGCCCCATCCAGAGTTTTCTCAGAGATGGCTTGGCCTTCTCTGTGCCTGTGTGGATGGGAATCCCCTGCCCTGTCCTGTGACTCTCTGTTCCCTTTTATACTGGCCAAAGGCTCCCCTGACCTGTGAAATTTGTCAGCCTGGGGAGGGGAGAGCTGCAAAAGCCAGGCCTTCAGGACCTGGCAGAAACCCTGTCCTTTTCTTTTTCTTTTTAATGTTCAACTATTATATATTAGTTCCACAGAAAGCCAGGTCTCGTTTTGGTATATCTGCGCATGCTTACAGTGTACCCGGATTAGCTCTACCACCCCTGTCCCGCTTCCCCTTCTCCACCTGCCCACACACCTTCCTCTTCTTTCCACAGAAACCACCCCCCTTGAGCCAAGGGCTTCTGGCTACTTTGGTCTGCTGACCACATCCAAGGAGGCCACATAGTTTGGTGGAAAGGAATAAGGACTGTTTCAAAAGCTATCTCTGAGGAGATAGAGGGGCCTATTTGTCTCAAACCCTCTGGGGCACAGGCACGCAGGGCCTTTCTTAGCAAGGAGCAGAGGTGAGGGCAGCCCAGCCAGAGGCTTCCCTTACTGCTCCAGGCTGTCTGCAGCTGGCTCTCTGCTTTCTGTGCACAGAGCCTGGGCAGGGCTCCTGCGGTAGCATCTGCACCTTCTGTCCCCTCAGCTGGGCTGAGGACAGGGGCCGTGTTGCCTGTGTGCACAGCGCAAGATTGGAAATCCTGCTTAACTCTAAAAGGAGAATCTGTGTTCCAAAGAAAAATATCTAACTTAAGGATTCATCTTTTCCTGCTGGCTACACAAGGAGAGCTATCTGGCCCTGGGAGAAGCACAGAACATATATTCATTCACACATTCATTCATTCATTCATACATTCATTTATTCATTCAGTGGTTCATTCATTCAATCATTTACACATAGTATATTCCCCAAGTCTAGTTTGAGGCTGACTATACAAGTCTTTTGCTAGGAGGAGAAAACACAGACCCCAGTGCTGAAGACCCTGGGGACACAGGCTGCTCTAAGGATGGAAGGGCAGAGCCTCCCCACCCCCACCCCCGGGCATCTTATCTGGGCTGAGAGGTGCAGATTTCTCAGAGGGCTTCCTGGAGGAGGCAACACGGCAACTGAAGATGGTTAAGTCCGGAAGAGCACTTGGAGGTCACAGCAGTGACCACCAGCAGTGGCAGAGGATGAGACGGAGGGATCTGAGGGCTTGCGAAATCAACAGTGAGAATCAGGGACGTGGGAGGTGAGACATGGTGGGAGATGTGGTCAGGGCTGCAGGAAGCAGGCCAAGGGGAAGCTGCCACCCTCCCCCCAGGTTCTGCAAGTCCCCCGCGGATAGGCCCACTTTATCCTGCAGGTAGAAGGGGCCTTAAAGGGGAAGGAGTGAGAGCCGAGCTCTCCAAATTTACCTTTGAGGAAGCCAGACAGAATTACACAGAGACAGATCCATCGGCAAGGTATGTGGGAGGCTGGAGGGCAGGGGCGGGGGTCATTGGAGGCTGACTTCACGGCCACCATGGGATGATGGTGACTGTCCTCGGGCTGGAGAGAGCAGGAGGAAAGGGGAGGGACGACACTGAGGTTGGCTTTGGGAAAGTCAGAATATGATGTCTACGGGCCTGGTATATTTGAACCTTTCTATGCTCTGGTATTTTCACCTGCAAAATGAGAGCGGTAACAATGGTGCTACCTCGGGGAGACCTGCAGGCGTGAGGTCCTGAGTTCAAAATCTGGTACCACAGAGTGTAGGAGAGAGCAGCCGGCTCCACCTCCACTCTCCTCTTCCTGCAGAGGCCCAGGAGGGCCCAAGGGAGAAGCAGGACCCTGGGGAGGAAAGCTGTCTGCTCCAGGCTACCACAACCTTGTAGCTGCAAGGATGAAACAGAATTTAATAACTTCATTGTTTGACTTGAAGACCAGAAAAATCAGACACAAGGAGATCAAAGACAGAGGTAATTTAAGAAACACCCCCAGCAGTGACTGGCTCAAGTTCTTTGAAGGGTATCAGAGCTGTTCTTTCAGAATGGGTGAGAAGCAATCGACTGGCTCCTTGGTTTAGTTGCAAGACTTTTTTTCTTTTCTTTTTCTTTTTTTTTTTTTTTTTCCGGTACTGGGGATTGAACTCAGGACGCTTATTTTACTGAGCTATCTCCTCAGCCCTGGCTGCAAGACTTGAATAGGGACTTCATACTGAAAACTACAAGGACTGAAAACTGGATATTGCAAAACACATCAGCAATACACGTAACAAGGCAGACAGAGCATTGTCAATTTGGAGGTAAATAATCCCGATTTTAAGGCCGGCGAGTGGCTTTGGCTAAGCACCTGCAGATGTAGCACTGGGATGATTCACATTTTGGTTCAGGAGCGCCTGACACAGGATGTGGTGCTGGGCGCTAGAGCAAATCCAACCAAAGAGAACTGGCCTGTCGCTTCAGACAAACACAGTCTTGGTACTGATGCAGGAGCTGCAGCTCTTAATGAAGCTGCTCAAATTCTGCGATTGCAACTCAGAGTGATGAAGAGGAATCCACAGTAGCTGCTCAGGTGGTTACAGACCTCGGACAGGCAAAGTTGGAAGATTTCAGCCTCTTCCCTGCTTAGTACAGTTGGAAATGATACGCTTCTGGCGTGTGTTTGGAAATTGCACCTCACTTTGGAGGAGGGAATCCCATGGTTACTTTTTTTCAGTAAAATTTAAGAAAGTGGGGGTAGGAGAGGATAAGGGAATGCGCGTCTCTTATCAGTATTGTCATCACTGCTGTGACAGCTGGAGGGGATGTGTTTTGGACTCATCAACTTGGGGTGGGGGGGACTCAAGGTGAGACTGTGAATAGGCAGGAGAAAGATGGGGCCAGGTAGGTTCAGGGGAGCCGTAATACAGGCGGCAAAGCAAGAGCCCAGGAAGAAGGAAGAGGAGTCCTCAGGGCTGGGGCACAGCTCACGGGCCCAGAGCTTGCCCAGCGGGCACGGGGCCCTAGTTTTGACCTCTAGCACCGCAAGGAAAGGCAAGAGGGAGAAGGGAGTTATCCTTAAGAGTGAGAAGGAAATGCAGAAGGAAGAGGCCATCATGGAAGGCAGCTATAGATAAGGAGTCCCACACTGTCACACGCTTTCAGGCGACAAGTGCAGGAAGAAATGAGAAAGCCCTGGCTCTGGTGACGGAGGCTGTCAGTGACCCTGGCAAGGCCAGGTTGGCATAGGCTGAGGGATAGGGATTGGGGGGAGAGCTGCAGAGAGACTTCCAACGCAGCACGGCTGGAAGAAAGCCCGAGACCCGGTATGGAGAGCTGAAGAAAGCTGAGACAGTCTGTAAAAGAAATGCTCACAGAAAAATGCACTAGAGGAAAAGGGTGCAGGTTTTGGACAGATTGAAAATTATGGGCCCACCAGTTAGCTCAGTGGACTAAAGCACCTGCTTAGGCAGATTCAAGGACTGGGGTTTGATCCCTGGCGTGCTCTGCCAGCCCCACCCCCAGGGAGCACTGAGACAGCTACTGAGACTGGGTGTGGTGGCGCGCGCCTGTAATCCCAGAGCTTGGGAGGCTGAAAACAGGAGGATCACTGCAAGTCCAATCTGTTTCGTGAGACCCCGTAGAGCCTTACTAAGGAAAGGAAAGAAAAGAAGAGAAGAGAGGAGAGAAGGGGAGGGGAAGAGAGGAGAAGAGAAGGGGGAAGGGAGGGGAGGGGAGGAGAGGGGCAAAGAGAAGAGAAAGAGAAAATTACATAAGCAGAAGGAGGCCGGGAACCCAAGGCTGACGTCACTGACAGAGTGAATGCCAGGGAGGCCTCAGCCTTCCAAAATGCTGAGACTCGCTGTGGCCTGATTTATTCTTTTCCTTTTCCTTGTCCCCCTGCCCCAGGATTGGGCCTCACCCTCAGTGGTTGATGGGGGAGATGAGTTCACCAGAAAACAAGCCCCCATCTCTTCTCTCAGGCTGTCTGCCATGTTCCTATGGTGCTCAGGCTCACTCAAGGTAGATTCCAATGGGATAGAAACCAAGGAAAGACTTTCCTTCTGCCAAGAATGAATTGAAGGCATACATGTGCGTAACAGAAAACATTCCTGATTCAATCCGCTCATTTGACAGAGGAGAGCAGCACAGCTGTATCAGGACCTTAGATTTTCTGAAGTTCAGTATTCTTTCTTTCTTTCTTTCTTTCTTTTTTTGTATTTAGTAGAGGGTCTACAGGGTCTCACTACACAGATTGGACTCATAGTGATTCTGTTTTCAGCCTCCCAAGTGCTGGGATTACAGGCACGCGCCACCACACCCAGTCTCCATCACTTCTCAGCACGTGCCAGGGGCAGGGTCAGCACTTCATGTGGTGCCTGGGCTCGAACCCTGGTCCCTGAGCTTACCTAAGCAGGCACTTTAGTCCTCTGAACTATCTGGTTGGCCCTCACAGTCTTATTTCAAGGAATCAGACTGACATTTGCAGAGAAAAGGCTAAGAGCCATAAAGCGGCAGATATGCGTCTCAGCCCAGTGGAGATGCACGTGTCCAATAGACACTCCCTGCATCTGGAACCATGGTGCTCAGAGCCCACCACGAGCCAGGGGAAGGTGAAGGGCAGGAGGAGGGCAGGAGGTCAGGAGGTCTGGAGGTCTGGAGGGCAGCCAGCCCCTCCGCTGTCTGTGGCTGGTGCTCTTGACTCACTAAGCTCGTGCTGGGGGAGAAGGTTCTAGGCAGTGGGAAGCAGGAGGGGCTGCATCTGCTCCAATACATGCAGGCGTTAAAAAAAAAAAAAAACAGATGAGAAGCTGCTGCTTTCGTTCAGGTCTAATTTACCAAGACTAAGTGGACCTGAACAGGTTTGAGTCTCCTTCCTGGGTGATTTGTGCATGTGGGAAGAAGAGAACAGAAGCTGCTGGGATTGGGGCCGGTGAGATAGCTCAGCAGACTAACGCACCTGCTTAGGCAAGCGCAGGGACCACAGTTCGATTCCCAGCACCACATGCCACACCAGC